GTAAGACAAGAGAGAAGGCAGCTATTCATCACCACCCACCTCCAACTCCTGGGCTACTCTTTTACCAACGAATAGTGGGATTGACCGTCACATTATAACGACCCCACGGCTGAAAGGGCGAGCATGTTTGGTGTGACGGGGATTCGAACCCGCGACCCACATGGGCCCTAACCACCTGGCCATGCCGGGCCCAGAGCCATCGGTGAACGATATGCTGAGAACAATACTATTGAATATGCTGTTTCAGTCATGGTTCAATAATGAGGTAGTCTTTAGTACAAGTTGATAAACATATTTTATAATGCTTTTGAGGGAAAGGGGGGGGTGGATTTACCGCTCGATGCTATAGTGAAGTGATATTGGATCTGGATGTACGGCCTTCGGCGATTTCAATCCGATAAAACTGTCCTGTTGCAGGATAATGTTACTGTCAACTTCTCAGAACCGTGCTCGAGTACCTTGAGCAAGAAAAAATAGAATAGCCAGGAGTTCTGATTTAAATCCCATAGAATCACTCTGGTACATTTGAAAGCTTGGAATGCTCTTTTTGGGGGGTGAGACGGGATCCCCCAGCATTTGTCAGCGGACTAATCAAAATAATTATTCTTAGATAACGAGACTGTTAAAATCACAAGAAGTTAATACTAGTACCTTTCTTTCTCTTTCGTTATCAAATATAACATTTTTATCTTTCAGGGTGATTCAGCTCGATTATTACTACTTTCAAATTGTGGTTTTGTTTGTTTTGAATTTCGCGCAAAGCTACACGAGGGCTATCTGCGCTAGCCGTCCCTAATTTAGCAGTGTAAGACTAGAGGGAAGGCAGCTAGTCATCACCACCCACCGCCAACTGTTGGGCTACTCTTTTACCAACGAATAGTGGGATTGACCGTCACATTATAACGCCCCCACGGCTGAAAGGGCGAGCATGTTTGGTGGGATGGAGATGCGAACCCGCGATCCGCAGATTGCGAGTCGAGCGTCCTAACCACCTGGCCATGCTCAAATTGTGGTTAATTGCTATCTTTTATCAACGTGGTTCATTCTTTTAACTGTATTTAATGGGTAAAAAACTGTTAATGTTGTTTGGTTGAAAAATACATAAACTATAAAACCTCCCCTTTTTTAATTGTTGAAAATACTATATACATCAAACTTTATACAGGCCTGCTATAACTTAATAGTTGAAAATAGTATATACATCAAAACTTTATACACGCCTGCTATTACTTAATTGTTGAAAATAGTATATACATCAAAACTTTATACACGCCTGCTATTACTTAATTGTTGAAAATAGTATATACATCAAAACTTTATACAGGCCTGCTATTACTTAATTGTTGAGATAATACATTAGAACCATAAAAATCAGGTGGACGTTATTTTTAACGATACATTTGGCTTTCTTTATTATTACACTTCCAAAAGTTATTTAATCGATTTACAAACAAACATCAATACTAACCTTTTGCAAGCAAATTGCAGTATAGAAAAAAAAATGTTAGATTCCTTCATTGAATTTTGAAAAATATATTAATTTTTGAAACAGAATGATCGAATAAGTTTAAACTTCTTGACGACTAATCATGGTCGTTATTTAACAGTCTCGTAGGATCAACATCAGAAAAAAAAAAGCAAAGTTTCCTTAACAGGTA